ACGTGAAAGAAGAGCTTTGTGACAATGTACTTTTCCTGATTTGTGGACCAGAAAGTCACCAGATGAACGATGTGAGTTTCAAATTGTAGCCTAACGGGTAGATGTACCAACTCATTCAAACCGCATAACTGCATAACTTTGACTGCGCTTTGCAGAAATTCGTCCGAAAATAAGTAGTTCAAAGAGCTCGTTTTATTCAAAAAGACTTTCGTTTTCCTTCCGTTCCTTTCCTCTGACTTCGAGCAGGGACCGATATTCTTTGATTAGGGTGAACATTCTACAAATACTTTATCTTTAACAGAATTGGTGGAATGTAGAGGAAATTTGGGTTGTTTTGAGAACTCTCGCCGTAATTTGAAAACCTTTTCTCTCATACCTTCAAAAATTTCACACAGTATCAGCTGTTTATCTCTAATTAATTTAATTCCCAGACCCGAACACCTGTGTATCTGAGCCATACACCAGCAGGCACGTCATCTCTCAATATCATGCATTGGCTGCAAATGGTGAAGAAGGGGACAGTGTCTATGTACGATTATGGTACCAAGGAAAACAAGAAGAAGTATGGACAGGTTTGTTGCTGCGAAATTTTTTCAGCCAAAAAATGTTCCAGTTTACACAATAAAATTAACACAATTGTACCGTACTTTTCGTCCTACATATAAAACATCGTTTGCTTATCACCTTGAAAGGTTTTTATGGAAGGAGTGAGCGAGAAATGGGAAAAATTCCTAACTTTCCTAGTAAATGAGAAAAATTCTCAACTTTCCTAGTAAAAGTCAAATATGACAGAAATATCAACGTTGCAAAAGCACAAATTCAAATCGTAAATCACCTCTCAATCCTTCTAAATCACATATCATCTCCTTCTATCTTTCTAGTCGTCCTTCAGCGAATGTAGATAGAGTTGGGAATTATTGAGGAACACATTATTATCAAAAGGTGTGGATCGATGCAGCAAGATAGTTTTCTTGATTTCAGGCAAATCCACCCGAATATGACTTCACCAAGATC